GATTGAAATGTTCTCTAATTGGGTTTTTGTGAAGGTTGCACAACTCTATACATTTACTGAAAGTGTTGAGCTGTACGCTTATAATGGGTAAATTTTAGTCAATAAAGTTTATTTTAAAAGGCCTAAGGCAAGGATCACCTTCACAGGGTGCTCCTGTACCAGCTTACCTGAGCCCTACAGCTCAGCTCTGGCCTTGGCTGGAGGTGGCAGTGGTGACCTCTTACCTTAGAGTCTCCTGAGGGATTGCAGCTGTTCTTGGATACCAGGCAGTGAGTGACAAGAATCCTAGGGTCTTTGGTGGTGATGGACAGGCCCTGCTGCAGAATTTGAACCAGTCGTATCCAAAAGCAGAAGACAGTCTCAGGATGGTCAGGGTGGAGCCTTAAGTAGTAGATTTTCTCCGTGACTGTCCTCAACCTTAGGATGCGCTGAAGGCAGTCACAGACCTGGAACTCCACAAACTTCAATGGGAGAATCCTGAAGGCACAAGGGAAGAAACGCATTGACAACCCCAATGCTTCTGACCCAACCCTATCTTCATTAAAATGAGGAGTGTCTCCACTGGGACTGAGGCTTTAGGGGATGGAAGAGAACATGCTTAGCATAGTGGTGCTCAAAGTTTGGGGGAAATTAGAGTCACCTGGGGAGCTTGTTTAAAATGCAAACACCTGAAGACACCCCCAAAGATTAAGACTCAAAAGGTCTGGAGTGGAGCCCTGGAATCTGCATTTTAACCTCCATTCATCCTGCCAAGAATCTCATGCTGGCATTCCCTGGATCCTTCTTGGGAGAGACAGCCCGGGAGTAAGGTAGCTGGGATCATAGGGTTTTCCAGTTTCTGTCTTGATAGCACAAAGGCAGCTGGCCTCCTCTGCCTCAGAGTTGGGCCCACTGTCTGGATTGTCTATTTATTGACCTTAATGGCTCAATTACTCTTCCAAAGGAACTAAAGTTCAAAGAGCTGGATTTGGATTTAATAACTTGTCAGCTGGGACTGGCTGTACTTGCTGGAGGTGTGCCTAGAACATAACGGAGAGGTTTATCACTGAAGCAACATGGAGCGATGAAGGGTTTATCTGGACTTCTGGGAATATCTAGAGATTCTTGAGATATCGTACAGCTATTACTTGAAGAGGCTCAAGCCTCTAAAAGGGCTATTTCATCCCAGAGAAACAGAATGTCACTATATGTTACAGTTTCAAGTGAGACTCAGTTATTTCTATTCATTTTACCAGTAGGAAAACTGAGATGCAGCAAGTCAACTCGTGACTCAAAAAATGTTTGAGTCTAGTTTGTTGCATACCAGGGACTACAACCTGCATCTCCCAACCAATGCTTCATCTGCCAGGCCTCTTGGCTTCCTTGCCCCTTGGCCAAAAGTGGAGAGATCACCCCTAGAATTCAGAGTGGTGACTACAGCGAGAAAAAGGAAAGTGGGCATGTAGACTGGCCCTCACTCCTGTCCACGTTGTGCTCCCAACCCCTTTGCCCCACTTGTTCCTGATGCTTCTGGTGCACCCACTGTCTTGGGTTACTGTTGCCTAAAAAAATTAATGTCACCGCTGATGACTTCTCTGCTTTCTCCCACCTTGAGTTTAGTCACCAAGCAGCCTCTGCTTTGTGCTCACATGTCACTTTACTTGTCCTTCATTCCCATCCGTGTTGCTTACCTCTTTAGGATGATCTTTGGGGTCGGAGATGGTCTGTTCCATGTCTGGCTCTGCCCGTGCTGCCATTTGACGCTGGCCATGAGGAGGATGTTGGGAAGAGGCAGGCAAGGCACGGAGGAGGTCACCCCAAGGGCCATGGTCTTGGAGGCTTTGTAAATGTCTATCCAGTTCCTGCCCTTTTTGACCTGCAAAGCAGCCCCCACCCGGGGAACAGTCTGAGCATTGGCAGAAGCTGCAGTATGTTTTGGGTGAGAGTTTCTCAAACTCGGCACTATTCACATTTTGGGCTGCATAATTCTGTTTGGGGGAGAGGTCTGTCCTGTTTGTTCGTTGTAGGATGTTTAGCGGCATCCATGGCCTCTACCCAATAGATGCCTGTAGCAACCTCCACACCCCTCCACCAAATTGTGACAACCTATAATGTCTTCAGACAGTGCCAGATGCCTCCTGGTGGTGGGGGGCAGAATCATCGCTTGTTGAGAACCACAGTTTTAACCAATATTGGTTAAACTGTAATAGTATTTACACTACTTAGTATTGCAATTGCCCACAAGAACAATACCCCAGGAGTCACATGTGTCACATTTCTGTGAATCCTCCCCAGACTATTTCCTGGCTTTTCTTGGAAAAACCTGCCCCTTTGCCTTTGTTTGAGTAGCCCTATTATCTCCTGCACCATTTCTGCACTGTGAGGTCCTTTAACTCCCACATTCTGTTGATTTTGGGTTCCATCTGGCCTGAGGAGGGCCCAGGCAAAGAAATAAAAATGCACTGAGTGCCGTTGTACTACGGCTTTTGCCTCCCATGTTTGCATGGAACACCCAGGTCAGGCCCTCCCCTTTAACAGTAGAGGAAACTGAGATTCAGGGTGTACAGGTCAGTGGACTAGACTCTGAGCCCAGATCTCTCTGGGCACCCAGCTCCTACTCTTTTACCAATCAGTGTTTCTGTTCCAAACCCTCAAAGGGCACCTCATTTTACTGCCTCTTTGTTCGTCTGCTTTGGGCTGACAGCCTGGAGGAGGAAGTACATTGCGGGATTCAGATACCAGATCCTCCACTCAGAGCAGAGAACACTTGACCTCTCTCCCCAGAATGCCTTCAGGAGAAAACCTGTCTGGGGCTGTGCAAAGTCATGGTCAGATGGGGGTGGCCTTGCCTTCAGTGTCTCTCTTTGCCTCAGTTGTCACTCCTCTCCAGTTTCAGGGACAGACATGGGAACAGATTTAGAAGAATCAAGGAGTGCCATTCTGAGCCGCCCAAGAGTACCTGGACAAAGTTGCTTTCAAACACCACTGATTCAGGAAACAGGTTGAATTCTGGAGAATGAACCATCTGGCAGAGCAGTCCCTCCTCCACACCCAGGCCCACTCCAGGATCTGGTTCCCCACCCACAGGAAAGAGGCCCCTGAATTCTTCCCAGGCATTCAGGGAAGGGACAGTTGGATACGATCTGGTGACTTTTACTGTCTTCTTTGGTTTCCTCCAAGTCTTTCTCTGTGGAACTGATGACAACATTTCCGCACATGCTCGGGGGCCTGCTGCGCGTTTGTCCTGGGATCTCTCTCTTCCCTCCTGGCCTTGGGCAGCTGGCCAAGGCCTGGGACCACCAATCAGCTCACAATGATGAATGGATGACATCATGAAAAGCCAGGGCAGGCCTGCAGGAAAGGGAAATGCAGAGGAGCCTCCCTTTTCCTCCAGAGTGCTTTCACAGCTTGTTTAATGCCCCGACATGCCCCAGCCCTTCTCAGGACCTGAGGATACAGTGCCCCCGGAACTTGCTGAGAAAGTGCTAAGCCAGGCAAAGAGCAAAGAAGGAAGGCTGTTGGGAAGCTCCTTCACTGCTAAGAGGAAAATACCCTCCCTGCCTTTCAACCCTCCGTTACTCTGAGTACAGCCTACCCGCAAAGACTTTACAGGGCTGTTGTCGATTTAAAACCCAGCCTTCCTGAGCTTTGCACCCTGTGGGTCCCATGGTCCTTGATTTTTCTGCCTTTTCTGGTTACGGGAGGAGCTGCAGGGCTGTAGATGCCTGCCCTGGGCTTTGCTACGGCAGGCTGATTCCTTCTGCAGGCTTGATTTCCCTGAGGAGATCAAATTGAAGGAACAGTAGATACAAGCAGTTTCTTACTCAGAGGCTGGCTTGGTGAGAGTGCCAGAGGAGAGACATGGAATCCTGATCTACAGGCAGCTCTGCTGGATCAAGAAGCCATGCCCCCTCCCAGGGAGTGGTGGTGCTCCTCATCCCTGAGCCAGAGGAATAAAGAGCCCAAATCTCGGGGCGGCTAGATCAGAGGCAAAGAACCAACCAGGCTGACCACAATTCAAGTCTATTTCAGGGAGAAATCATATTCTAGTTTGGACAAAATTCTGGAATTTATTAGCCATCATGGTATATTAACCCTCAAGGTCAAATACAATCAATTTAGAAAAGCAGTTTGACAACCAGCATATGCAAAGAACAAGCATGGAAGTTTATTTTTGTATTTCATTATCAAGTCAGGGAGAAAGGTTGAAAAGTCATGATTCTATCAGCCACCCCACTTCTGGTCATTTCCATTACTCCCCTGCTCTATCAGCTCCCTTGTTCTGCACTCAGTTTTCTTTTGTTTACCATGTGGGGAAAATGTCCTCTATAGTCACATTCTAAGGATGCGGTCGGAGACCGAGTCCTGTGGTTTACATTTCCCTGGAAACAGCACACAGTATAAAAGTGATGGCAATTAATACACTGATATGATGCTTTTCACAGCTAAAGCTTCCCTGCAAGAGTAAAGCTGATTGGCTTGGATACATGGTTTGGATATAATTGGCCATTGAGACATTCAAAAGTTTCCTTCAATTTGAAAGATGACTTTTTCTCTTTTCCATACAAGCCTGTTGAGCTCATTTCTGTGGTGTGTAGAGGATGGGTTTAGCACCAGTCTAGATGGCTAAATGTGAGGAGGCAAGCTTTTAGCTCTAAACAAAATGCTAAGCAATGATAAAATGGGGCTTTAAGATTCTTCTCCTTCCTACCTGCCCCCATCAAAGCTCAAAAACTAGCACACTGAATCTTTTAAAAAAAAGTTTAACAGATACTTAGTTGCCTATCCCAATATCCATTTTCCCTATTCCTTTAGTAATAGAATGTCTGGTTTTCAGTTGGGCACAAGTTGCTGGAAGAAGGATTACATTTCCTAGCCTCCCTTACAGCTAGGTAAGGCAATGTTAGGACCATGTTCAGGCAAAAAAAAAAAAAAAAGTAAGCTCAAGTGTTGGGTAAAATTTCTGTGAGGAATCATTGTGGGAAGGGGACATACTCTTTTTCACTCCTTATTTTTTTCCTTTTGGCTGGAATACAGAATAGATGGCTGGAGCTTGAGCAGCCCTTTTGGACCAAGAAGTGGCACGTTAAGGATGGTAGCATAGCAAGATAAAAGGACTCCAGTTCCTTGATGATCATAAAATTATCATACTAGACCTGAAATCTGTACCTCCAGACTTCTTTTAAGTATGAGAGAAATAAGGGTTTTCTGTGCTTTTTAAGCCAGACTTAAAACTAGCTGACAGAACTATATAAAAGTATTTCTCTTCTGGACTGATTTTACAGAAAATGATGGTACTGTTTACCATAATTCTAAGCAATGAAGAAAATAGGGTTAATTTACAATAAATTGGGACCTTAAGAATGAGGAACATATAACTTTGGAAAAAGTTGTATAAGTATGTATTCCAAAAATATGAGAAACTCATTGATTTTGTTTTTCTGTGATACAGCAGTACTAATGCTGCCACAGTTGTTGACTTTTGCACATCTACTGATGGGCACATTGGTGAGCATGTCTTCGGCTATGTTATTGTCCTTCAGTTTAAGGCTAAAGTCACTTTGGCAGTGTTTGGTATCATTTCAAAGCTTCAGGATATCTGGTTATCAGGTGGTGTTGGGCCCAGGTTTTATGGGATTTAAAGCTTATACAATTCTGGAGACTCTTAAAAATAAAAAGGCTGGGAAGGGGGAGGGAGTAGAGTGTGCAGTAGAGTGTGTAGTATAGTGGTAGAGTGTGTGCTTAGCATGCATGAGGTCCTGGGTTCAATCCTTAGTACCTCCACTAAAATAAACCCAATAATATAAATAAATAAATAAACCTAATTATCTCCTACCCTCCTCCAAAAAAAATGGTAAAGGGATTTACCGTATCAGACTAGAGCCCACTGTTAAATCTATGTCCTGCTAAACCTGGGTATTTGCTGTCATAACTGTTTATGATACTTTCAGGGATCACAACAACAACGAAAAAACCAAAAACCAAACAAAAACAAAAAGGTTGGAGGGAGGAGTGAGTTGGGAGTTACTGTTTAATGGCTACAAAGTTCCAGTTTGGAAAGAGGACCAAGTCTTGGAGATGAGTGGTGGTGATGTTTGCGTAACAATGTGAATGTATGTAATGCCACTGATTTGTAAACATAAAAATGTTAAAATAGTAAATTTTACAGTATGTATCTTTTACCACCATAAAAACATGCCGGAGCATAAAAAATAAAATTAAAAATTCCACAGAAGTACAATACAAAATTGCTAGAGGTCCTCCCATGGCCTTGGAGGAAGGAAGGGCACATGTGATTAAGGGACCCTGAAGCTTAAGCTTTATTATCTTCACGGTAAATCTTTCCCATTTAAATATGTGTCACTATTTTTTTTTAAAAAAAACCTGTATTACATATGCAGTACATGTGCTTTGTAGAATATTAGGAATTACAGACAGGTTTAAAAACAGATAGCATATTCCTGCCTCCCAGAAAACATCACTGTAACAGGTACATGTGTGTGTACTAAAATGAGCTCGTACTCTAAAAGTTGCTTTACAGCCTTTTTATACTCTGTTTTATTTAGTCAACACTCTCTGCCTTTGTGGTTTGGTACTTTCATTTCATCTCATTTAATTTCCAGACCATATTAAAATTTCTCCAAATAACAACAATTATTCTTATAGCTGGTTTATCCAAATCAGCATCCAATCCGGGACCTCAGTGCCCTTTAAGTGTATTTTAATCTCATGCAGTCCCTTTTTTACAAGACTCACTAGTGGATGCAACTGAGTCAGTTATCCTACTGAATGTCCCACTTTCTGGATTTGTCTAGTTGTTGCCTTGTGTTTAGTTTGCTTCTCTGGCTACTATATTTCTACAAAATAGAAGTCATATCTCAAGGGCAGATGGATTCACGAAGGAGTCACTATTTCTTAGGAAAGAGCTACCGTGGGATCTATGTAAGATACTACTCTCTGCTCTCAAAGAATGTCAGGAGAAAAATACATATAAAGAGTAAATATCAGAAGAAAAATGATTCCAGAAAATAGAAAACATTCTTTGAAAGAAACTTTTCTGCACTCTCAAGAAAATTGAATACAGTAGGTCACCTTATGAAACAAAAAATCAGAGGTACCAAAATTAGATGAAGACTTGAAAAGGTAAGGAAAGACATAGAAGAACAACCCAATAAATAACTGGAAGTTATATTAGAAGCCACAAGAAGTGGAGTTGACATGACAGAAAACTGAGTCAGTGCCACAGATCATAGATTTGAGAATATCACACAGAACGCAAGAAAAGAAGGGCAAAGAGATGAAATGATTGGAAAGAAAATGATAGCTACGTAAGACATTTATGTTGATCCAACATACAGCTAGAGTCCCTGACGAGGAGAGAACAAATGGAAATGAAAACACAGTCAAAAACATAAAAGAAAAAGCCATTTCTGAAACAAAAGACTCCATTTGGCAAATGAACAGGATTTTCTCTATTCCAGGCAAATTGAGTAAAGAAACCATTGGATCAGAAAGCTCTTGTGAAATTCCTAAATCTTCAGGATAACAAAAGCATTCACTAAAACAAGGAGAAGAAGCAGACAGTCTACCAAGAGGAATCAAATAAGACTGACCTCAGACTTCTTTTCAGCCATTTTAGATGGCATAACATGATGGAACAATGTAGAAAGAATGTTGAGGAGGATAAGATGTGACCCAATAATTTCATAAATGGCTAGAAATTAATTTAAGTGTAAAGGTAGCAAAAATAACCCTAAAACTCTAAGCACTCTAGAATAAAAAAAGCTACAAGCTGGTTCTTTGAAAAAGAAAAATTAGAGGAACCACTGGCTAACAGTTTAATTTTTAAAAAGGAGGACATAAAGCAAAAATTTGAAATAAGAAAACAAATGAGTACAAGTAACAAGGAGGTGTAGATTCCTTCCTGGGTAAAGGTGGTGACACGAAGCTGTACTATTTAGAGTATAATCCAAGTAGCTAAAAGATCCCCAAATCCAGTGACTTAAACAAAACAGAATTTTGATTCTCTCTTACATAGTAGTCCAAAGGGAAGCAGTCCATAGCTGGTAGAGTAGCTCTTCCATTCTCAACATGTGACTTCCACCTCCGGGTTCTAAGATGGCTGCTCCAGCTCCTGCCATCGTAAGTTTGCACCCTTACCAGTGAGAAGGGGAAAAGGGAAGGGGAGTGTACACTCATTCCTTTTAAGGGCACGACCTGGAAATGGCATAATCACTTTTGCTCACATCTTAT